ATATATATATATATAGTAAATGCCCAGTTTGTTCATTATCAGTGACTTCTATCTCTCTGATTACATTATTCATTAATTTAATCTTACATCCCTCACTGGTCTATGCTGACATCACAGCATCAAACATTAGCTGTAGATTTGTCCGCAATATCCACAATATAAAACTCCTGTCACAAAATGTCCATTGCATTTTACTCATTATAAAAATACACAAAGAAAACAACTGAAAGCAAATAAAGTAAACTTTACTTTTATTCTATCATCATCAATGCAGCTAATTAATGGAGATTATTTTTCTTTTCTAGAAGCCATTTTGGCACAAAAATAAAAAGAGGTTCTCACCAGAACCAAAGGAAAATATTTTTTTAGAAATTGAATTCAATTTATTTTAGCATAAAATACATTTTTTGTTCATGTAATGTTGATAAATACGGGAAAATACATAGATTTCTGTCAAATAATGTCTCATTTCTTTTACTGTATATGGACTTATAACGTCTACTATCACGTTCCCTTGTTAAGGCACCTTATGAACCAGGGAATACCTGATTTCCCTAAATTTGCACAACCTGATACAATGACTTTAATTACACTTTCCTGACTACACACAGGTATACATGCATATATCATATAGTGATGTGAAGAAATTGCAGGAATTATGTGGTGTTCACTTTAAAAAATGAGCCGGGTTGTGTTGTTAAAGTAGCATTCTTGTGTGGCTTCAAGAGGTATCATAATAGATGACTGATTCCAACATGAAGTGGGAAAACATCACACATACAGATGAATCCAGAAGATGTAAACAGCCTCTGAACCCTTCGTGAGGTCTTGAACATCTTAGTCCATGCATAGCGTCTGATGCCTCAGATGGGATGAAAATAGCTGAAAACACCACCTGACAAGTAACAAGACAAAACAAAACATCTTATGAGAAACTGAAGTTTCCTACATTGTCGACTTTTGACCAGTAGCATTTAAGATAAATGACACTGCAGCTTACTACCCTCTCTGAGTTACATATCCAACAGTATGTCTTAAATAATATTGGATATCACCATGCATGCTAAATAGCAATGGTGCCAAGGCTCATTAAATTTAAAAACTGCTATACCAGTTAACAGACAAAAAAAATCCACTGTGGCTTTTCTAAGTTATTAAATATAATACATTATTAGCCACCTGTAGCAGTGTGAAGAGGGCGCCTGTATTCACAGTGTACCATTCTTACTCACCGATACAAAAAATAATATAAGACAAAATTTAATACTTAACAACAACAGGGCAGACATCCTGACAGCAAAAATGTGTGAAACACTGACAAACAACTATTCAAAATTGTACCACCAAACACATAACACGAATGGATAACACGAACTAGCCAGGTAGCTTAAGGCTCTGGTGACATTCAAGGAGATTAAAGAGAGATGGAAGAAAAAAAATACCAAAGATTTACCAAATTAACATGTGATGAAGAGAGGAGCTGTCTGTTTCTCATTTTTGACCGTGCTCATTCAGGATCAGTCTGTGCTCCATATACACAGCAACAGGAGCCCAGGTGAAAGAAGGATAAGGTGTTACTCAAGGCTAACAGATGTTTTTTTATTTGGGGAAACAATCATTTGTGTTGCAAAGTTTGGACGAGAAAAGTCCAAACAGAGGTTTCAATGCCAAACTTAATAGCTCTGCTGTGAAAACATAAATGCTAATGAGCCATATGTTGACTTTATTTAAAAAGCATCAAAACGTAGAATTACATCTAACGTCAAAGCTGAACAGGCAGTCTGTTTATGACTTATTTTAGTGCCTCGTGCCAAATATCAGATTTGCTAAAAGAGCTTAAGAGTAGATTAATTTTTTTTAGTTCTATGGTTTTATTCTATTCTATTCTGCATTTTACTGTTTTTTCTTCTTTTGTGATACAATTTTTTCAATCTTCATATAGATCAATGAAGTATTTAATGCCGGTAGACTTGTGCAAACGTCTAGAGGCATGTGGTGTCAATACTACTGCTACAAAAAAACAATAATAATTGTGAGAAATACTATGAAACTATAAAAAAAAAACCCAGTTATACCGATGGATGAAAAATAGGGGTAACTTCTGCATCTTAAATGTGAAGCCAGCACTAAGGTGCATTACACCTGGCAAAAATTTCTGTAAATGCAAAAGATTGTGGTTTGTATAAAAATGTATAGGAAACTGGCCCCTCACTTCCTTACTCTGTCACTTTAATAAACATTTTTTCTCACAGTTTTCCTTCACAGCAGGTCTTTTGTCCCATCTTCCTCCCTTCACCCCCAACCGGTCGTGGCAGATGGCTGCCCCTCTCTGAACTATATAAATAAAACTGAATAGAAAATTTTAATTGAATTGATTTCATGAGCTAAGTTGTGGTGATTATTAGAGTCGGAAAGCAGGAGTATCCAGGTTATTTTTTATATCCTGTTGTTATTGTTTGAATACTCTGCAGGTTGTGTTTAGCTGCACATGCTTTGAACATGGTAGCAACCAGTGTTACCATGTTCTGGCAACCAGACTAAACTCTTTAACAATATAACTTTAATAAATTTAATATTTTGACACATTTGTTGCCTTTTATTGTTGATAATAGAATAATTGAAGTAAGAAACTAGTCTGATTGATGTAAATATCATCGAGTAAGTCATGAATGTGAAACTGAAAACAAGTTGGCTTCTACAACAGTGCAGTGATACAGAAGTACAGAAAAAACTATGTGTTCAAGTGTGCTTTATTTTTGCAATGCGAACCACAGCCATTAGCGAAGGTAAATCTGTTCTTGGAAAAATGCTACAGTACACTCTTGTTTGCAATCAATACGCAATTACCACTCAAGCAGAGGTAATATCTTTCTTACGCCCATTATTATTATTATTTTTTGGTTATGTTCTGGTTGACCTGTGGCCCCACTGGCCAATGGAGAATGTCAAGACTCTTATAGACAAATTCACAGTGGACTTGAAAGGCAGTGGTAGATTTTAGGGTCATAGTAGTAATCTTCTCTGTCTCTTTTTCCAGTGGAAGTCTTGATGGATATATTTTTTCTTTTAGATCTGTTGCTTTAGATTCAAGGACTTAACGTCTGACATGCACCGATGTCAGTTGGTTCATAATGCTACCACAAGACTACTTACTGGAAGACAACTAGAAGACAAACCCAGTATTTCCCCTCTACTCGACTGTCTCACTGTCAGTGAAATTGATTTTAAGATAATTGGCTTAGGATCCTTTCATGGCTGGCACCAGGTCTATAC